TTTTTTTTTTTTTTTTTTTTTTTTTCCTCATGCATCAAACGTGATTCAATTGACTAGCATTGAAATCTTACAATAACCTGTGATGAAGGATTTTTCACGGTCTAGCAACTTTTTGGTTTACAAAGAATTGTTTCGAGGTAGATTCAAATTCCCTGTCTCTACTTAAGAAGAAAAAAATATTATTTAACCTTATTTTTCCGTTTAAAAATCTTTTCAGTTCTACGCTTTCTCGATACCACGTTAGTACAGGCAAGCTGCGGCTTTTGCTCTTCTCGAATGCCTCATTTATTATTCGTCGCCAGAACAAGAATACATCAAGATTGAATTAAGCTTGATAACCACAGCAAGGTTTTATTATTTACCGCCAGAAATCACCAAATTTGTCGGGTTAAGCGGTACTGGGTGGCATTTAGATTATAGTCTAACAAATTTCAGGGAAAGAGTGATAACTGAAGTCAAAAATGGGGCAGTGAAAAGGCAAAATATCGCTTTACAATTTAAAATTTTAAGTCAAAACAAGCGAGTTTACAGGTGTAATCAATAATATTCAAAACAAGGTTAGATCTCATTAAAAGAAAAAAAAGTGTTAGAAATGGTCCGAAAATATTTTGTATGTACGACGCTCGGCACTCACCAGAGTCAATGACCTTGAAGCACTTCAATCATTTAATGATTTATGAGGTTAGTGAAATAAAGTGGGCTTAATGAACAGGAAGTCTGCCAATTCCCAGCAAGTGAAAGTTTATGTACGTTGTAATTGGCATTTTTTTTCCCTCTATACTAGAGCTGATCAAACGCTGAATATCCTTTTTGCCGCGGTTGTTTTCAACCTTATCAAAATTTTGTGGTGGTTTCATTTTGATCATTGGCACTTACGGAAGAATACTACTCCTTATGCGAAAGTTCACTCTTTGAACATGATAAATTGTTTCGTAAACTTGTTTTGCCCTCAGGCTCTGACACGTAATTCACTAGCAGATATATTTAGATAACCAAAATTGATATTTCATCACTTATGTATACCAAAGCGCTTGAAGAACAATAAAGAAACGTATCCGCAGTTTTCACGCTACTTGCGTTTTCAAGATCACACGAAGCTTTGAAGTTTCAACTGGAAGTAAGTCATTCTTTTCTAGATCATCAGAATTGTTATACATCTGGGGCTAGTCTATTGTTGACGAGAGTATCCTTTAGATTTGTATTGGGATCCCAGTGACTGCACTCTTTCCTTTATTTTCAGCTCGGTGATCATGTGGCGAAAAAAGTTGGCTCTTCTTACTTTGTTGATTGTGGGGATGGATTTGCTGTTTTGTACAGTCAATGCAACTCCGTGGTGGAGACGTCGACGGCGCCGTCGATCGCCGCCTCTACCGACTCCATCGCCACGGCCACCACCACCACCACCACCGCCTCCACCACCGCCACCACCGCCTCCGCCACCGCCACTACCGCCTCCACCGCCACCGCCACCGCCACCGCTGCCTTGCAACTCATTTCTTCCGCGGTTAACCATCGGGGGCCGAGTAAAGAAATGGTCCAACGCATGGCAGCAGTCATTCCGCGCGATTTGCCCTGACAGTAAGACTACAAACTCTGTTATTCTACTGAACTACCAACATCTTTTGTCCATTTTTTTATGAGCATGATTTTTTTTCCCTTTATCATTTTTATTACTTTGGATGACAGAAATTGAAGTTGAGTGAAGTTCTTTACCTTGTTCTAAAGCTCATCAAGAGCTGTTGAATTCGCCTTCATCCTTTCTTTGCCCCTTGAATAATGTTCTGCTTTAACTCTCTGAAAAGGGACTTGTTGCTAACTTGCCTTATATCTTAATACTAGGCTATTCAATGTTCTGGTGGATTAGTGTTTTCCGAAAATGTCAGGAGGATCGTATTCACCATTTCCGCTGTAGCCTTGGTCCTGCTATTTACCGCGCGAGCGAAGACTGCGTCTGGTCTGGCTTTTTGCCGAACGGAAAGACAGGCTCCGCCAGTTTTAACTTCAAGTGTGAGTCGCATGGATATATCACTGGAATTTTGAGCGAATTTAATACGGTCACTAAAGATCGCAGGTACCTTGGTCTAAATGTTTTTTTCTTTGGCGCTGTCTTCAATTAATTTTCCTTACGGATATATCACTCAGAAAAAAACGTTTCCTCAGCAGAAAAAAAGTTAGAGGACAAAGTTAAGAGCTCCTCACAAAAACCATAAATAAAATACACAATGACACGAAATGAGAAGAAATATCATTTGCGAAGGGACGAATTAAACCTAGCAGAACATGTTTAGACTTGAGACACGAACCTGAACGAGGAATTTAAACCCGTCGCGAACGTCGACTTCATTTCAACCTGTAAGTCTTGCATTTTAAGGCTTCTTGACTTGCTTCCTTCATTCCCTCCTCAATGATCCAAATCGTCTTGACGATGGAAGAGATCTTAAAAATTTAGGCTAAAATTTTGCACCCAAAAATGTGAGACAAAAGTCAAACACAAGGAGCGATGTAAACTAAAGACAACAAACAACTTCTCGTCTTGACTTACCGGTATATTAAAGATCTTTTATGCCATTTTTCTCTTTCTAGAGTAAAATTCCGTTGCTGTCATGTGGAGGGCTACAAACATGACAACTGCAAGCCCACGGGGTACAAAAACGCGTACGGAGGACTTTTGAACTATAGAGCTCATTCGGGTTACACCATAGTTGGTGCGGTCAGTGATCACAGCTCGAGGTTTGTAATCTTTTTTCTTATATTCAACAATGATGGGTTTTCATTATTATTAAGAGGTGCTATTTAAGTATTATTCAGGTTATGCGTGATTGCTCTTAAAATTCTATGAAGTATAATGTTCCATTTCTAAGAAACAAAGCCTTTCGTGAAAATCGAACTGTTGGTAGTGATTATAAGTCTAAGTTTTTTTAACAAAGCATATTTTATTCCCATTTATTCATATTGCGACCTTCATGACTGAATAATGTTTCTTTTTTTTTCGCATTTAAGTAACACGTTTTTTTGACGACACTGTTGTTTTTTTGTTTCTTTTAGCCACAGTGATCGTCGCTGGAAGTTTCATATCTGTCAAATTAAATCAAGCACTGGGAGGAAAAAATAATGGAAGACTTCAGAAGCAAAAAACAACATCAGAAGGGATCAAGCGCGGGGCATTTTAAAATAGATATGATTTATAAGGGTGTTTATAAGGCATTTAAATAAAAATAGTTCTCTTGTTGGCCGAAACAGAGGGAGATAAAATCATCACACGAACTTCTTCAGGTAGAAAGGGTATAGACGCGAGCTCCTAGAAATCAGACTTATTATATCTGAGGTTCCTTTTTTAAGGTTTGGCTCTTTAAGTTACTCTTGAGCGCCGCTAAGGAAAAGGAAAGAATGTCGCAGGTTTGCGACTAGGAATATTATTGTGCCGGCTTTAGAAGTATTTTCATTAGGATTGTCTTCATCGATTTGATCTAATAACTGAGGGTAAATGTAAGGTGAGCTAAGCTTTGAGTTTCGTAATAAACACTTGCTAATATCTTCGAAGTTTCTGATTCTACATTTTTGGTGCATCTCTTACCTGGGTTTGGCAGAAAGAAAGGGAGGTTTATACCGCATGAAAGTCTACATGCTACTATCTCTTTTATTTAATATTTTCAACAGATGACCTCGAGGGGAAAAGAGACTTTCTTTACCACAATATTATATCGAACCCTGTTACTTCTCCTGTTTGAACCTGATTTATTCATTTTCGTTTTTAGTTTATGGGTGTGAATTAAATTAGGCCATTTTCAATGACCCCTTATGGCTATCACTGTTATACATGGCATTACTTCATATAGAATTAAAAAAGATCTGACCAAATAAAAATCAGAAATAACTACTTGAAAGCGGAAGACAATGGCAACAATAAAACCAAAATAAAACCAAGGGTGGGGGAGGGGGGAGGGTCTCTGAGGTATATGGGCCACTAACTTGAGCCACTGATGTGGGATGGGGAAATATTTCGTTTTATTTCCGGAGGAGTTCGATATCTTTCTGATCTTTCGTCGTTCGAAATCGCGTTCGATACTTGAATTAGGCATTAGTGATACTTTGACTTTTATTTCGTGGAAAAAAACGGTAGATGTTTACATCGAATGTGGAGGCTCACTGACACTTATGGATCTTGATATATCATTAACATTTAGTTTAAGACTGAGTTTTATCGAGCTTGCTCTAATGAAAACGAGAAACATCGTTTTATTTGGTTCTCTTGAGAATAAAACCCATCTAAAAATTGATATGGGTTTGATTAATCATGTGCCTACCAAAACAACAAATATACAGAGTATGATGCCCAGGAAACTAAGATACCAAGAGATCAAAACGTATTCAATTGCAATATCGACATATAAAGCTAACTAAAATATCTGATTATAGATAAAAAATTGGCGATTCTTTCTCAATTTAGTCTTAATTACAATTTCTTTCGTGGTTAATAAAGTCAAAACTTAATTTGAAACTCCACGATTGAGAATTGTCTCCCTACATGGTCGGTTAGCAATTTTGTTCGTTTCAGTTCCGGGTAGTTTTGCTCCATTGATGTTTGAAGTACTTGCCTGGTTTAAAACCTTTAAAAGCCGTCCAAGCGGTGGCATCTAACCTCGCTTTCTTCAGATCACCTATATCGAAGTATACTGCTGTTCTTATTTAAGAAACAGCATGAAAACAATGTTACTTTAAATGCTCTAATGACACCCATTTGCTTTTCAATTGTTTCCACAATCCCTCAATCCAAACTGAAGATATTTTAGTTCCATTGTTCCCTTAACCCTTTGTGGATCTTTACGATTAATTTGCCATTTAGTAAATATCGCGTCAACTTTTTTGCTCGCCCTGTTTGATATTTCATACGTCACTGGCCATTTAAAGCACAATTAAGCCAATAACGCAAATTGACTTTAGCTATTTGCTTTCAAAATTTGTCGAGATTGCTTCTGTTGGATACAAATTTTTCAAATTTTTTGTTACTATCGGTTTTAGAAATGAAAATTTCTTGAGAGAGTTCGACTGGTTTTCCGCTTACTCGACCGTAGTGCTGCAGTCGTTCCTCTCTTTCCATATCAAGGGCTTCAACTGGCTTTCTTTCACGTTGTACCAGAAAAATGGAGAAGGTGTCATCTGTTCTTACCTTTATATTAGATGAGTTGGGAGAAGCTACAGTGAGGAACTCAGTTTGACTTCCTTATCGATTTTTTTCAACATGTTGCCACCGCACTGCCCAGACAGGAAGCTTTTGAAATTGAAGTAGGAAACCAATTGTTTTTACGATATGATATAGAAAAGGAGAGTTCTTTGGTCTTAGTCAATCTTAGGAATGGCCATCGGTTTTACAAGCTATATAATTATGAGGTCTTTTGAAAACGTTTATTGTATGCCTTCATTCTGCGTAACAATTCCTTTTTTCTTCTTTTTTTCACATCCATAGTTCCTTTCATTTGAATTAAATGATCTTTAAGTGATAGAAAAGGCCAATCTTTTTAGGAGAGTGTTAGCAAACGCAATAGGAGTGCGAAGAAAGGAGCGGCATGGTTTGAAAAACTACCCTCCTTACACGCTTGTCATGAGCGTTCGCTTCGCGCTTTCCTCGGCTCTCCTGTAAGAGGTATCCATGCTTACTTTAGTTCTTGCCTTGCTATGTCACGCTATCAGACAAATCACGAGACCAAAGAGTATAAAAACTATCATAAGCAAAATTTCACACACACCAAAAAAAAAAACAAAACAAAACCAAACAAATCTGGGGCAACTTAAACTAGTAACTTATGATTAGATATGTTCAAGTAATATTGAAAAGTAGTATCAGTACAATCTGTAATAAACAAGCCTTCAGACTTATCGGTAATTATAATAATAGCGAGGTGATCGTTCAATATTCTTCCTGACAAATAATCTGAAGCGGAGTTGAGTCCAAGTTCATTTTTTGATAAAAGATTTTATGTTGTGGATGGTATTTCATAAAATAAATAAGAAAAATGCCAAATTATCGAGCACAGAACACTTGAAAATTACCTCGCCCAGTGAAAATCATATGCCAAATTCACTTCGTGTCCAGATCTGATAACAGTTTGTAGTTAAGTAATTGGATACATGTTATCTCAACGTTTAATATTGACTTATTTCACTTCTGTTCAATTAATTGATTAAGGATCCAGTATTTCTTCATGGCCACCGCAGCACCTTCGTTTCATTCGGCAAAAGAGACAACCAATTACGCCCGGTTATGCAGGCTTCTGGTGGATGTCAGTGCACATGTCTTGAGAGAGACTTTTGAGAAGAGACGTCCAACAGGAGACCTGAACGCAGTTTTGTTAAGTCCTCCAGTTCATGTAGTCTTACAATCACTTCGAAAGAAAGGAATTCTTAATCCTTCCCAATGAGTACAACTATATCCTAAAGCCATCAAATCTGCAGTTTCATCAAAGAATTTCGATATCACTCTACTGATGGTTTTGCTGAGGAATATATGCAATCTTGTTCGTCCAGCTACCGGCTGGGATACACTTCCTCCTACAGCAGACACAACCCTTGAAGCAGATATCGTCCGCATCAAGTGCTACAGAAACACAGTTTATGGTCATGCCAGCGAGGCCTCAGTTGATGACCCAACATTCAATCAATACTGGAAAGACATCCAAGATGCATTGGTGAGACTGGGAGGAGCTGATTACCAAAATGCTGTTGATGATCTGAAAAAGGAATGCATGGACCCCTATTTCGAAGAACACTATAAAGAGCTTCTTAAACAGTGGGTAGTGGATGAAGTCAGCATCAAAGAAAGGCTGGAGGGAATGGAAGAGCAGTTTGGTAAAGCCTGGTTGAAATGAAAGAGCACATTGGTAAAAGCTTGGATGAATTTGAGGAAACAATCGTTAATCCTTAAAAGAAAGTGGGAGACAAAGGTATTGTGTATCAACGGTAAAATCTGTGCACGGCATCATGTTTAACTGCATCAGCCATAAGGTGTTAACCTCTGAATCCTCAATTAATTAATCCACCAATGCAAGTTTAATGGACACACTTTGAAACTAATACTGACTGGAGCTTGGTCTTGACACATAAAAACCATAGCAGTTTCAAAAACGCCATTTTGATTATAAAATTAATGCAACTTTTGGTTTCCTCTTCAGCTGTTTCAGCATACACAAACGCGATGAAAGTATCGATTAAAAAGCAAACAGAGTTCCTCACTGAAGCTTCTCCCACCTCATCTAATAAGGTAAGAACAGATGACATATTCACCAGCCT